CATGGGGCCCGTTTTTCCTGCCAACTCTTTGTATTAAGCATGCAAATAAAGAGAGGTCCAGTTCCCCAGCAGGACCCAGGGACACATCCTGCTCCATCCACCTCCCTGGGGAGGAAATGATGGAGTGTAAGAGGGGGCAGTCTCTCACCCCCAGGAGTGTTGGGAGTCCCCCCGCTGCCTCCCTGCAGCATAGCTGAGGGAGCAGCACCGGCTAGGAGGACAGAAACACCAGCTGGGGCACCCACAGGGAAGCAAGGTGGTAAGGAGGCACTCTGCACCTTCCCCCAGCCCAAATGGGGATGGGGTCCACCTTCTGCACCCCTACTCAGGTCCCCCCACCCCGTACCTCTTCCAGCACCCGGCGCATCGAGGCGGCTGCCTGGGGCGAGACGTGCCAGGGGTCAGTTTCCTCCACCATAAGCACATCAAGGGTGCCCTTCTCCAGCACCACGTCGAAGGAGGCATCGGGGAAGGCGAGGGCACGGATGTCCATGACGGCCCAGCGCAGGCCAGGGCAGTGGGCGTAGCGGGCGCGCATGGCCGCGATGCAGGCGGGGGAGAAGTCGATGCTGGTGACGTCGGTGTAACCCAGCTCGTGCAGGTCGTGGCTCAGGGCACTGTTGCCACAGCCTGTGTGGGGCACAGCTCACACAGGGCTCGGGGTGCCCATGGGGGTACTGGCACCCCAGCTCTGTTCCTGTGGACCAGGGGAGGGTGCAGGTGGGCTGGGGCTGCTGGAGAGGGGCAGGTCATCGCTTCGATGCCAGTTAGTGAGTGTTGGGCTACTCATTAATTACCCCTGTCTTGCAAGGTGGGTGCTTTGGGCTCCTATCCTGCACACCTGATCCCCTCATCTTGGGGTGGGATGCGTGGGGAGGCTGGAGGCAGGAAAGAGGCACAGGGCGTCCCCAGTTATCCCTCCCGCAGTGTTGTGGGGCAGGAGGTGGCCGTGGTCCCAAGAGCCTGCTGGATAACTGCAGTGGGAAATCGGGGAACTCCGGCCGGGGGGTTTAACCGGGTGCGAGGGAGAGAGGGATGGAAGAATTGGTGTCTCAAAAGGACATGGGGAGAGCCCCGCTACCAAGCCGTCCCGTCGGAGCCACTCCACCGGGGCTCGGCCGCTCACCGGGGGGGCCGAGGGGGATCTCGGGGAGGGGGGCGGATTTGGGGGCTATTAAGCGCAGCTGGCAGCGGCTGATCCGCTAACAGGATCGGTGATTACACCCGCTTAATCCCGCCAGCCCGGCGGCGGATCAGACCGCAGGTGGGATTACGGGGCGGTTATACCCGCCCCGCTAGCCGTCAGCACCTCGGGCACTGGGACCACCCCGCCGGGCCGGGCTGGGCGCAGCTCCCGGTACCGGCCCGGTGCCACACCGCCCTCTGGCGGCTAACGCCAGTGCATCCACTGGCGGGACCCCGAGCCCCGCCCGCCCGCCCTCCACCGGGCACGCCGGGCACGGGGCACGTACCGAGGACAAGGATGCGGTCACCGGGGCGCAGCTCGGGCTCCAGCTGCGGAAGAAACCGGGAGAGCCCCCCCAGCCACTCGCGAGTCTCGGTACCCTCCCGCTGGTACAGCGCGTCCCAAAACCGACGCCGCCCGTACCGGGGGGGGCCGGTGGGCGCGCGCCGCTGCTCCATTCCCGGGAGTGGGGCGGGAGCACCGGGCGCCACGTGCCACCCGCGCCCCCACGTGCGGCTTCCGGTCTGGCCGGGTGCGCCGCGCTCAGTGCTCCGGGCGGAAACACGGAGCGGAATGGCGGCGGGGCGGGGGGCGGCGGCGCTGCGGCGGGCATGGCGGGAGCGGCGGGCGGCGCTGCTGGAGCCGCGCTACACACCACTGGTGGCAGCCTGCCTGTGCCTGGCCGAGGGTGGCGTCAACCTCTGGGTCATCCGCAGGGTCCCCTGTGAGTGCCGGGGCCCGGCCTGTCCCAGCGCTGCCCGGGGCTGTCCCCCGGGATGGCGGGGCCGGTCCAGGACAGCGCGGGGCGGTCCGGGGGCAGGGATAGCTCGGCCCTGGGGTGGGAGGTGATGGCGGGGCTCGTCCAGGGGCAGCGCGGCGGGCGGGGATGTGGCGGGCAGGGGGACAGACCTCCCCCGGCCCCTCGGGTGATGGCATCCCCCGGGCAGGGGGATGGGGCGGGCGGGGGCGCCTGGACGGGGCCGGGGAGGGACACAGGGCTGGGCTGAGGGTCCTGGATGTGGCCGGCATGGGAGGAGCCTGTGCTGACTGCATGGCAGGGAGGCACAGGGTCAGGCTGGCGGGTTTGGAGGGGGGTCAGCACCCACACTCCCTGTAGAGCCCCCCCGAGCTCCAGCTGACCCCCGCCGTCCCACAGACACCGAGATCGACTGGAAGGCCTACATGCAGGAGGTGGAAGGTTTCGCCAATGGCACCTTCGACTACACCCAGCTGAAGGGTGACACCGGGCCACTGGTGTGAGTGACACGGATACCCAGTTCGTGACCAGCGGCTCCCGCAGGGGCCGCAGGGCCGGGCCCCTCACTCCCGTGTCCCCACAGCTACCCCGCTGGCTTCGTTTACATCTTCCTGGGGCTGTACCATGCCACGGGCCGCGGCTCCGACATCCGCCTGGCACAGTACCTCTTCGCCGGCCTCTACCTCCTCAACCTGCTACTTGTCTTCCGCATCTACTGCCGAACCAACAAGGTACCCTGAGGCCAGGGCTCCTGCTGGCCGCTCTGCTGAGCCCTCACCCCGGCGGGACACAGCGTCAGGACTGAGGTTTGGAGGAGCTCAGTAGCAGCAGGGAGTCCAGGACAGGCTGCTGATGACCCTTTTGTGTCTCTGTCCCCTGCAAGGTCCCTCCGTATGTTTTCTTCTTCATGTGCTGCGCTTCATACCGCATCCACTCCATCTTTGTCCTGCGGCTCTTTAATGACCCTGTGGCCATGGCCATCCTCTTCCTCGCCATCAACCTCTTCCTGGAGGAGCGCTGGTCCTGGGGCTGCCTCCTCTTCAGGTGAGGGGCTGGGAGCTGCTCTCCATGGGGTACTGGGTGTGTGAGCCAGCTCAGCCCCCGGAGGAGGCTGTGCTTGGCTCAGGGGCTGCCTGGGCTCCCGTATGGGGTCCGCAGTGGTAATGCAGCTTCCTGCTCAGCCTGGCTGTGTCAGTGAAGATGAACATCCTGCTCTTCTCCCCTGGACTCCTCTTCCTCCTTCTGCAACGGTTTGGTCTCCTGGGCTGTATCCCCAAGCTCTGCATCTGTGCCCTGCTCCAGGTGGGTCCCTGTTTGCACTGGCTGCAGCAGCAAGGAATAGTGGGCTGCCTTGCCAGGCTGCAGTGCCATGGCTGGAGATAGTGGTACCAGTATCTGTGGCCTCTCACAGCAAGCTGGGTCTTGATAAATAACGTAACTCACGTGACATTCATCTTTGGCTGACTGTACCTGTCACCACATGTGGCGCTGGGTTTCAAGAGGTAGCCAAGGTAACAGTGACCTGGTGCAGGGCTCTGTGATGGTGCTGGTGTGTCCCTGGCAGGTGGTTCTGGGCCTGCCCTTCCTGCTGGTGAACCCTGTGGGGTACCTGACCCGCTCCTTTGACCTGGGCCGCCAGTTCCAGTTTAAGTGGACAGTGAACTGGCGCTTCCTCCCAGAAGAGGTTTTCCAGAATCGAGTCTTCCATGCTGCTCTGCTCCTGGCTCACCTGGCAGGCCTGGGGCTCTTTGCACTGCACCGGTGGCACAGGTGAGACCTGGGGCTCCCCATCGCTGTTGGTCTCTGCCAATCTCACGTGCAGGGTACAGGACAATGACTCCCCTGCCCCTGCAGTGCTGCAGTCCTGGAGCTCCTGAGTTGGAGGGCAGTTACTGTTCTGTTTTGGGGAATGTGTGGCCTAGGCATTGTGGCTCACAGGGGAATGTTAGGGTGGGAGAGATTTTCAGCAGCTGAGATCAATGTCTTTCTTCCCCCAGTTCCAAAGAGAGCATCCTGACTCTGTTGAAGGATCCTGCCAAAAGGAAACCTGCATCCCCTCGCTTGACTGTTAACAATATCCTTTGGCAGGGTGGGCAGCAAGAAGAGAGGGAGAAGGCAGGGAAGGGTAGGGAAAAAGCTGGTTAGGTTCCAAGTCATGCAGTGCTGTTGTACCAGCCTCCCCTGGGGAAAGGAGCTATGCTGGACAGCTGGGGGGCTGTTGTGGGATCACACCTCCAGTCTCCTGTGTTTGCCCCCTTAATGTCGGTGCATGGATTGTCTTCATCCTCTTCTCCTCCAACTTCCTGGGTGTCTGCTGCAGCCGCTCCCTGCACTACCAGTTCTACGTCTGGTATTTCCACACACTGCCCTACTTACTCTGGTGCACCCCGACCACCAAGCTCGGCCACATGCCCAAGTATGTGCTGGCAGGGAGGGCAAGTGAGGATGGCTGATGTGTCCCCCACGCTGACCCCCAGCTTTCCCCCCGCACAGGGTGCTGCTGCTGGGTGTGATTGAGCTCTGCTGGAACACCTACCCCTCCACAGTCTGCAGCTCCCTCTCCCTGCACATCTGCCATGGACTCATCCTGCTCCAACTCTGGTACGGCACAGCCCCTACGCCAGTGTCACACACCCCTCCACCGAGCAGGAAACCCACAGCCATGTCCAAGAAAGCCCAGTGAGAGTGGGGATGGCTGACTGGTGGGAACTGGCCTCCAGAACTGCCCCATCTGCCTGCTCTTTTCCTACTTGACTCAGAGGCTGCCTACAGCAATCTCAAAAGGGCCATGAGCCCTGAAACTGTGCAAAGTGGGCAGGTGCAGGGACCCCTAAAAGGCAGGACTTCCCAAATAAAGGGGGCTTTGTGTGCCCTTCCTCAAAATCCTTGTCCTGTGATGATGTCAGAACAGCTGTCCCTGGGCTTGCCCCACCTGAGGGAAGGCAGAGCAGCTTCTAGAGCCATGAGCACTCTTGCTTCCCAGCTGTGGGAAAAGGGTGTCCAGGGCTGGGCAGGAGCCTCTGGGGTAAGGTTAGAACAGAGGAGCTGCAAAACTGCTTTGCTTCAAGGTTTCATTTGCTTTGATGGAGCCCAGGAATCACTCCAGTACAGCTTTTCCTATTCCCCTGCCTGCTCCCTCCCACCAGACATGGCTGGGAAGGAGGTGACCCCCTCCTAGGATTCTGGTGAGTCCTGGCATGGCCAGAATAGAGCCAGCAGCTCCCTGCTTGTAACAGAGACACCAGTGCAGGTGGCTTGGAGCCAGGTGTCTTTATTGGCCCCTCAGGCGGCCGTCACACGTTGTTGGGGTTGTAGCACAGCATGTTCAGCTTGATGTTCTCGTCCCAGTGACGCAGCAGCAGGAACAAGTGCCTGGCTGCCCCTTTGAGGCAGCCCACGTCCACCCCCTCGGGCAGGCGCTGTGCCTGCAGCCACGCGTCCGCCTTGGCTGCCACCAGCTCCCACTCCTCAAAGAACCCAGCACAGCGATGCTCCAGCCACGCCAGGGCCACCGCCGTGGCCCAGCTGGCACTCTCCAGATCCTCTGGCCCCATGTCCTGACAGCTCACACTGGCCTCAGAGGGGGCAGCCGAGTGGGGCCCGGTGTCAGACTCGGAGCCGTGCCCACTGTCTGCCTGTGCCCACACGGCTGTGCTGGGCACCTCGGAGCAAGTGCTCCGGGATGGGGGCGAGCCGGGCTGCGGGGCTGTGATGGGCTCCTCACCCTCCTCAGCCCCAGGTCCTGCTTCAGGCATGCTCCTGGCCCCTGGGGACATGGGGCTGAGGCTGGCACGGTGGGAGGCATAGGGGGAGGCCCGGCGCAGGCGGTCCAGGGGGATCTGCACCACTTCAGAGAAGCTCTCGGTGAGCTGGAATGGCCCCCGGGCTTGCTGCAGCTGCACCTGCAAGGAGGGGGGGACAGACGAGTTGGGGGGCAGGCAGGGATGCAGACCCACATCAGCACCAAACACTGGGGGGGCTGCAGGAGTGTCCCTGGGGCACAGGGACAGTCTAATGCCCCCCAGAAAGCCAGCCAAGATCCCCAGAGACATTTAAGGATGCAGCAGGCACCTACTGGGAGCATCTTCTTCTGCTTGTGCTGCCGGCCATGACCTGGGTGGCTCAGCTGGCACCCAGCAGGGCAGGTCCCCCGCTGAGATGGGGACTGGGGACGGGGAGCAGGTCCTTACCAGCGGGAGGTAGTCATGGCTCGAGTGGTTGCTGGAACGCTCACTTCCTGGGCTGAGGCACTGCGGGCGCAGTGCCAGGCTGGGACCCCTGCGCCTGCTCAGGCTAAACCTGTGGTGTCACAGGTAAGATAACAGGATTGGGAGGAACTCCTGAAAGGCAGCTGGACAACAAACTGCTGCAGGGAAGGGGCTGGAGTGCCAAACTCCCCCCCCCCACTTATGCTGCAGAAGCTAGCAGGGGAGAGGGGAGCAAAAAGCGGCTCTGTCCCCCTCTCCCCACAACATGCCATTTTTTGGTCCCTTGCATCCCCCCATCCCACAGTGTCACCTGGAGCCTGCGATGCTCTCTGTAGATTTCTGGGAGCCCATGGAGGTGGTGGAGGGGCTGGATGGAGGCCCTGCAAGTGGGAAGAGTTAAGCACAGTGGGAACATGATGCACCCAGAGTATGTCCCACTGCCCAGTACCTGGCAAGGCAGCTCAGCCCATGTGCCCACGGTACTGAGGGCACAGTGGATGCTCCAGCTGTGGCAGGGCATCGAGGGTACCCTATCTCCCACCGTCATCGACCCCTTGGCCCCCTCCAGCCTGGACACACCGTTTGAGTAGTTCTGCTTTTCCCAGCCAAAGGTAGGGGAGGAGATGCTGCCCGGGGACCTGGCATTCTCGTCTCGGTCTGCAAAAGAGCAAAGTCTTGTGGGGCCCCAGGCTCCAGGGACCCTCATGGCTCACAGCTGCTCCCAGGGATTGCTATGCTGTCCTCCCATTCCTCCCTCCCCAGTATGGGGCAGATGCCTCTTTCTAGATGTCCACAGCACCCTAGGCAGGACCAGCACCACACAGCCACCAGCTGAGGGTCTCCAGAGACCCCAGTGCATATCCCTGGGGAGCATAAGTTGACATAAAGGACTAAGTCAGTACCTGCAGTGCCAGGGGCCTCATGCTGCTCCTCTACATCCTGCTGCTGCCCCTGACCCGCTGGGGAGCTCCGGTGGTGCCAGTTCCCTGCCGCAACAGCTCGTGTCCGGCTGGCTGAGCCAGCTGCAAGGGACGATGCCACCTCAACCTCTGTCCCCTTGCTGCCCCCTCCCCATCTCACCAGGTCCTTCTCCATACCTATGCCCCACACTTCGGGGGCTGCGGGCAGGGCTGCCTGCGTGGCACAGTCCACGGGCACCAGGCGAGTGTAGAGGGAGGGCACGTTGCAGGCTTTGCTGGTTTGCACGGCTTTCAGGCGGAACCGGCGAGCAAAGCCTGGCCGGAACAGCGCGGTTAGAGCGGGGGGGTGCCGGAGCCGCAGCGGGGAGAGGCACCGGCACCCACCCTGCTCCAGCTTGGCTTCCCGCTGTGCCACGCTCTCATTGTCCCGGACGACGGAGCGCGCTGCCAGCCGGTGCAGTGGCTTGTCCCAGGCTTTGGCCGCCCGCCGCGGCCGGTCCTCCCTGCCCGGTCCCTCCCGAGGCTGCAGAAGTGACTCCAGCGAGGCTGTCACTTCCCAGGACACCGGCTTGCCGGCTCGCAGCGCGTGGATCACCACCTGGCAGCGCAGGGGCATGCTGGCATCACCTGGGCTGGGCTGCCCTGGCTCGGGCGCTGGCGAGGCACTGAAGAGGTAGGAAGGCTCCACCAGCATGTCCCAGTCCAGGTGGGTGGGTGAGAGGAGGTTATCTGGGCAACGGCAAAGGGTGGGCTCAGCAAGGCTGGGGCACCTGGCTCCATCCCCACCGCCCTCGTCCCCAGAGCCAGCACACACTTGACTCCACTGCACTGGGCTGCATTTGCCGTGCCTGGGGTCCCAGCTCATCCAGCCGCCCCTCCAGGGACTGGTTCCTCTTCTGTGACACCTTCTCCAAGGCCTGGCAGAGCCGATGGGCATCCAGCTCCCCGTGTGGCGTGGAAAAGCTGCGCCCAGCCAGGGCAGCACGTGCCAGCACCTTCTTCTGCCGAGCCAGCTCCTCCGTGCTCAGGGCCACTGTCACCTGTGGTGGGGACAAGGCTGTTGGCAAGCCCAGCACCGAGCTCAGATTGCACTGAGCTGCGATGGGGCGCCTGCGCCTCTCCGGCTGCTGGCTAGAGCCTTGGCTGTTGTCATCCCCAGTGCTCTGCAGGCTGGCACCAGCTACCTCCCAGAGATGCTGCCCTGGCACCATAGACATGGGAAGCACCCACACAGGTGTTTGCAAACATCCCTGGAGACAGACTCAGGCTGATGCTGGAGTAGCCAGGGATTTGTGTGTGTGCAGGAGTGAGGCTCAGGCTGGATGATGTTACAATGGGATGCATTTCCCAGTGCAGGATGATGTCTCTGTATTGAGATGCTTCCCCTAAAAGGCATGTCAGGGCAGTGGCACCCATGCCACCTCTCACTCTGGCAGCAGGGAGCTGGGAAGATCATTTACTCTGCAGAGAAATCACTTACGCTTGACATTTCAGCAGCAAAGGTCACCAGCTGTGCTGCTGTGTGACAGGAGTGAGTTACCTAAGCCGTGCCATTGGGAAGGAGCGTGTCCTGGTGCTAGGTGACAGCTGGCCTCACCAAGCCTTGGGGCCATCATCACCGGGGCAGCTGCCTTTCCCCATCCCAGCGACCCAGCAGGGTTTTAAAGCCAGGTATGAAGCAGCAGGGATGTGGCCAATCCCTAATGAAACGTCTGGCAGTGGTAGCTGAGGGCTGAAGGAGCCAGGCTGAAGCCCAGCCAGCCAGACCTTCCTCTCTGATTCAACAGATTTGTTACATGATGCCAGCCCAGCTATATTTATTTGGTTTCTGCAGCTTCAAGGTGTGACTGAGCTGGCTCAGGGGTCTGTTAGACACTCAGCTGACTGCTGGCCAGGGACACAAAGGGACCAGCTCCTTGGTCCCCAGCTGTCACACTTCAGTAGGGCAAAACCACCCAAGGAACATCCTCATGGCATCCTCATTGCCGATCCTTGCTTAAAATCCAGGCTATAGCACTCTGTTTCCCAGCCCAGCGGGCAGATGCCTGGCCACAACAGGGCAGCAAGCCTCCAGCTAAGCCATGAACAACCCCCACAACATGAGCCCTTGCACTCCATTGGCATCCTTACCTTGGTGCCAGCTGGGGCAGAGGGCAGCGGGGCGGATTTGGTGGAGGACTCGCAGAGGGACAGGCTCTTCTGGCCCTGCTGGGAGGTGACATCAGCACCAGGGGCTGAGGAACCACCCTCGGGGGCCACATCCCGGGAGCCAGTGGACTCGCTGCTGGTGGAGCTGCGGGAGAGCAGCCCCTGGCTGCGGTCAGTGCTGACAGAACAGTGTGTCAGGACATACTGCTCCTGGATGTAGGAGGGCTGGTAAATCCGCTTCCAGATGTCTCCCCCAGAAACAGGATCAATACCTGCCCGGTGAGCACACACCCTGTCAGCCCATGGCTCCCACGACTGCCCCCTGCCCCGGCTCTAGACCCCACTCACTCCGCTCTGACACCTCTGTACTTCCAGCAAAAACTTCCAGGGAGGCATCCCCAGTTCCTGGGTTGCTCTGGGGTGGCTGGTGGCTCTCCCCAGGACTGGGCACTTCCTGCTGGGAGAGAAAGGCTGAACCCCGGGAGCTCTGGCGAGCCCCTTCCTGGCCCTAGGAGAGAGAAGACGCTACCATCAGCCCCCAGCTGGGGAAGCAGCACAGGGACTGTGCCATCCTCCCCAGGCAGTGCTGGTCGTACCAGTGGGCGCCTGTCTCCGAAGCGGGCGATGCTGTAGAGGACACAGTAGCTGATGAGGCGGTCACCAGGGTAGAGGGCCGGGAGCTCAGTGGGCGAGAGCAGAGCCTCCATGCTGTCGGGGACATACCAGTCAATGGTGATGTCGCTGATGGCTGGCTCAATCGCCTTTTTCAAGGACTTGATCAGCTGGGGTGGGGAGTGGAGACAGTGTCAGACACGGTGGGGTGGCCCCAGTGCCCCCCATGCCCCTGCCTGGGTGTTACCTTGGGCTGCAGCCTTTCGGCCGGGCTCAGGAACTCAGCACAGCCCCGGCTCACCCTGGCCATGGCCTTCAGCAGCCGCCGGCATGCCCGCGAGCCCATGCCAAAGCTGAAGCACCTGCAGAAGAGCCAGGGGATGGAAAGCCATGGCTAGACTGGGGCTGGGAAACCCAGTGGTGAACCCTTTAGCAGGATGGGCAGGGGTGTCTGCCAGCCAGAGTGCTGCCCTGGCTCTGTGTTGGGCTGGGGCACCCCAGGAAGAGCTGAGCCGATGGGCTGAGGGATGCGATGGGTGAAGGACACCCTTGGGGCAGGCACAGGTAAGATTTGAGGCTGCACAAGGAGAAATCAGTGGGAACAGCACGGGGGATTTAGAGAACACCAAGACTGCTGTAGTGCCGGCGCCTTACCTGACGGTGCTGGCCTGCCTGCGCACCAGCCGCAGGATCCTGCTTGCATTGCCCACTGCTGCACTGGTGAAGAGGAATAGCTGGCGAGGGTAGCCATGATGGAGGGGCTGTGCCAGCGCCCAGCCCAGGGCTGCCAGCAGGTTGGTGCCACCAGAGTCCACCCGCAGTCCGCCAAGGTGCTCGCAGGCGCGCCGCAACGTCTCCTGTCAGCACAAAGAGCCGGCCTTGCAGCGTTCCCCTGGCTCACCAGCCCTCACCCCAAGTCAGGGAGTGGGGAGGAGGACAAAGAGGGGTTAGCGGGTACCCAGGATTTGCCTGTTATACTCACGTTGCTGCAGAGGCGACTGGATGGAAAGAGTGGCTTGATGTCAGTGCTGAAGCTGGCAAGGTTGAGCAGTGTTCCTGATGGGAGGCTCTTCAGGGCCACCAATAAAGCCTCCTGAGGTGACAGCAGGGACCAGGGACAGCTGCTAAAGGCTGACCACGCAGGGAGCACCCCTGTACCCATGGCCGTGCCTCACCTTGACCTTGTCAAGGTCAGGGCCACTGCTGGTGTCGCTGCGGTCAATGAGGAAGAGGATCTCGCGGGTGACGCTCTGCAGGTCCCCGGGAACACCCTCCACAGCCGGGCAGAAATTCAGCATCAGCACGGGGTTGGGGAAGATGTCTTTGTGGAAACGCTTCTGCACGAAAGCCACCTGCGAGCCAGGCATGTCAGAGGCTTTCTCATACCAGAGACCACATCAAGGTCTTCCTCACCCCCATACCACCACCTCCCCTTTCCTCCTCCTGGCTGGGGCAGCAGTAGCCATGTCCTGTCACCTGTCTCTCGCCACTGCTGTCCTTCCTGGCAATCCGCATGTAATCCCGGCGGCTCCGAATGTGCGCCTCGTACTCAGGGTACGTCATGGTGCCATCCTCAATCAGCAGGTGGGGGCTGTGGGGCTCTGGGGGGCACAGGAGAGTTTCGAGCTACCCTGTGCTGCAAGAGGCTGGGGGATGCTCTGAATGTTTCTGGGGTGATGCCTCAAACCCTCCAAGGGCACCATCTCCCCTCACCACAAGGGTAGAGGATGATCTCCAGGTCCCTGTCATAGCGGTGGGGCTCGGCCAGAGTGACACAGGTGGTGGTGGCAGAACTGGCCCAGGGGTCGGCGTCAGCTCTCAGGGCATGCGATGGGCTCTCCAGCCCTGCAGAGAAGGGAAGGCAGCAGTTTAGTCCCTCACAAACCCCCTCCTCAGCCCCCCACCTACCCAGCCCACAGCAGTGGCTTGTTCCTGACAGAGCTAATGGGATTGACGGGCCAGAAGCAAGGAGCATCCCCACAAACCTGCCATCTTCCCCTCCTCACCCATCCTCTCCCCAGTGCATCACATCACCCCAGGGAAGGAGGCTGCTGACCTAGAGCTGCTGAAAGGCACAGGCAGGGTGACTTTGAGGGGTCCCAGCCCCAGGGAATGGGAAAAGGGCTCCTTCATCTGGAGGGAGTGCAAGAGGATGCCCAGGAACAAATCCTCACATCCTCCTAGAAGGGAACATCACTCACATTTTGAGGAGGTTTTACACAACCAACTGATAACACCCAAGCCACTCTCCCTACCTGCCAGCAAGCAGGGGCCCTTCACCAGCAGCTCGAAGGCGAACTCATAAGGAAAAGGGTTGCAGGGTCGTCCCCGAAAGACATCCACGCTCTCCACAGGCACCACAGTGGGTGACTGGCTCCGGGCACCTGGCCCCCCAAAACAGCTGGTGGGGCTGCAAGGGGAGAGGGGGTGATGGCTCCTGCCCCCCCGCCCTGCTTGCCCAGCATTGGCATCGCCCCCCTGGGATGGCAGAGATTGAGGAAGCCATGAAAATCACCATAGGGCCAACCTGTCGTCACACAAGCTTGCCGGCTCGCTCTCGGGGTCGGCGGGGACGTGGGGCGTGAGGATGGGGGGCAGGAGGAGGCGCAGGGCCCCGTCCGGCAGCGTGGGCAGCTCCTGCACTGTGTTCAGGGTGACAGCCAGGCTCTCCGATGGGCACAGTATGCCAGTGACAATGATGAAGGTGGAGCGCTCCACATCCTCATCCAAGACAAGGTGGCCTGGGCAGGAGAGGGACGAGGGATGGGGGAAGGTTAGTGAGGCATGGGGAGTTGTGGAGGAAGTCATTAGTGGCCCTAATTGCTCCCAAAGGTGACACGAAGGCTGCGCGAATGATGACAGAGCCCCAGAAGAGGTAGAGGGAGGGGAAAGGAGACATTGAGATCTCCAGCCCCAGAGATCCCCCAGGTCTGGGGTGGCCTGGTAGGGGCTCTCAGCCCCTTGTATTCCCCCACTCTTCCCCACTGCCCGTTCTGCGCCTCCCTGCCAGGAACACCAAACAGCACGACCCATTCCACGGCACTCACCACCGGCACAGCGGCGCAGCCGGCCGGGGCTGGGGCTGCACTGCAGGCAGCAGTCCTGCGCCCGGTGCCGGTTCTGCAGCTGGAATGTCACCCGCCGGCTGCCCACGGCTGCCTCAAAGCTGGCCACCACCTCCGACTCCTCCAGCGGGTAGATGAAGATGCCTGCAGGCAGAAGAGAGCCCCGAGGCAGATCCTGGCCATCGCTGTGGCACGGTACAGCCCATGGGAGCCACGCTGAGAACCTGACTCGCAGCACGGCTGAGTTGCACGCGAGTGAGACACAGGAGCGACCCAGAGGGAGGATGAAATCCTCCTGATCCTCCGTGATGGGAATCTGTTTGCTCAGTCTCACTCTCCTCCTCACACTGTCCATGTCACTGTGTGACAGTGGCCCCACCTCTGCTGGCCTCCATCTTTGCTCCTCAAACTGAGCAAGGTTTGGGGGTCAGAACACAGATGGGCTGGAGATAGGATGCTCTCTAGCACAGAGGCTTTTAGGGAAAACAGGCAGGCAGCCAGGGTCCCTGCTATACCTGACAGCCCTCCCTTACCTTCCACAGGCTCCTTGTGGGGGTTGGTGTACGTGAGGTGAGCATTGATGCTCAGGGAGTATCCGTTGGCACAAGCCTTCACCGTGGAGCTCTTCAGGGGCAGAGCCTCCCAGGACAAGAGGGCGTAGAGGCCTGGCATGGTCCCTCAGTGGGCAACTGTGAGCAGAGGGAAGACAGGCAATGGATGCTTAGGGGTGGGGTCTGCTGGAAGGGGCTTCTGCCCACAGCCCATTTCCATCTGCCCAGCCTGCAAGAGGGAGCAAGTCTCCAGCCCTCCTACTTCCCAGGCTGCTCTTCAGCATCCACAGAACACATGGACCTGGATCCAGGTCTCTCCTTGGACCCCAGCCCACCTGCAAACCAGGTCTGGAGCCACAGGAGCCCACAGACAGGGCAAGAAAACTCCTGTGGGCAGTGGTTACATGCAAGCCCCAAGCCCTGGCAGACATGGATAATGGCCAACCACATGCAGCCCATCTCTCAGCTGCCCTAGAACAGCTCCAGAGCCTCTCCAGGCCGTCTCCTGCACTGGCTGGGAGATGAGCATCTGCTGCTCCCATCTTCATTCGTCCACAGAGGTTACCAGGGTAATTTTAAAAAGCTAACTATAAGGGTGAGAAGCCCACAAGTGTAACTAGGACAAAGCAGCGAGCAGTGTTTGCTGGGGGTTTAATAATTAACAACAAGGTCAGTTCTGCATGGAAGAACAGCATTGCAGGGTGGAGCCTGACAAGTGGATGATCATCACCTTCTTTGTCTAGAAATGGATGTGTCTGGAGTCCCACCTTTGGGCAGGAAGAGAGGTGGCTGGGATGCCTTCCAGCCATGGCACCAACCCACTCCACACCTCTCTTCCCCTTGGGAAATACACCCAGGAGCAGCATCACAAATAATTGTCTGGAGTCAAGGCATCTCTTCAACATCAGCTCACCCTGTGCCATCAAATATTTGTGTAAAATATTCCTGTCAGCCTTAGCCCTGGCTGTGTGGATCTGTGGACAGTGTGCATGGGGTCTGCACCTCTGCTCTGCCCCAAGCACCTGCGACCCAGCAGCAGCAGCAAGGCCCCCGCTCCATGCTCCAGCACACAGTGTTCCTGGGGCAAGGACAAAGCCAGGTACAAGTGAGCCATCTGGTGCCCCCACTCCAGTGGCCTTCATCCTGGGAACAGCTCATAAGAGTTTTGGTAATGGGAGGCTCGGGGTGCCCTCGGCGTGTGGTCACAGAGTGCCTCTCACAGAGCATCCTTGAAAGCAGAGCAGGGCTACATCCTTGGAGGCAGCACCGGGACCAAATTCTCAGCTGGCATAAAGCAGGGAGCCTTGGAGAAGCGTAGAAGTGCATTAGCAACGTGGCTGCATCCCAGGAAAATCAGCCCATTACATTAGAGAAGAGCCATTTACATGCTCAACTGGCATTGCAGGGTTATGCTGGTAGATCCTGGCCATCCAACCACACCCCATCATCACCAATCCTCCACCCTCTGTGCAGGATGCTGCCTGCACTGCTGCTCCCCAAACTGTGCTCCCAGCACACGAGGTGCCACAGGGTCTCTGCACAGCCTGCTGTTCCTCCACACTTGCAGTTCCACAACTGGGAACATCAACAGCTGGTTCCTACCCTGACCACAGCACCCACACGGGATCTGGAGACCAGGATGACTCCAACCCAGCCACGCTGAGCCATTAAAGATGTATTTCTCCCCAAAGCTGTTTAATTTGTTCCCAGGACACCCAGTTTGATGCTCAGCAACGTGCCTGCTATTTGCCGTGCCACCTGTCGGCCGGGTCACTGCCAGCTTGTTTACCAGGGACTTACTGGAGAAGCCGTCCCGGCTGCTTTTTATCACTTCTCTTTACATTTACCCTCACAGAGTAAACAGGCCCCATCTGGCCCTGCCACGCTTTGTGCTGGCTGCTCTAAGCCTGGTAATGAATAAAACCAGACCTCATGGTCCTCACCCCAGCCTCTTCATCCTCTTTCCCTGGGGCAGCAACTTGTCCCCAACGTGGCATCACCAACAGGTCCCCAGCCCTCTCTCCATCCCCAGCCTGATTTCCAGTACCTTCACAGCCCTCTCTTCTTCCTCCCCTCCACCTACTGCCTGCAGGAGCTGGTTTAACCAGCAGCAACCCCAGTATAAAAGGGCTACAGCAGGCTGAGGGTAGCTCTCTGTGCTGGCAGCTAAAAACTGTCTGTGAAGGCGAGAAGGAGCTGACTCTTCCCTAGGTCAAAATAAATCAATGTTTCTCTTCTCACCTGTGGGCAGGGTGAGTTTTCCAGCAAGGCTGCTGCAGAGAGGCAAGTGCCTGAGCCCAGTGGACCCTCCTTAGCTGCCTGGGGAGTTGTCAGAGTTTCACTTGCTGCAGCAACACCCACCCAAGCCAGGGTTCAGCACAGGCCAGGGGAAGGAAGAGGCCAGACCCGACACAGGCAAACGCAGCAGAAATTTCCACTGGTGGCAGATACACAGGCAGGTTCAAAAGAAAGGATGGAAGGAGAGGAGCCCAACCCCCTGCAAGAGTGCCTGGAGTGAGGAGCCATTGCTGCCCCCACTGCTCAACTGTGTTACCCCCTGCTTCCCTGGCCTCCCCCACCCCGTGAGACATCCCATGGGGCACAAAGGCAGGAGAGCAAGATCCATCCCGATTCCTGGAGCATGGAGAAGGCCATGGAGCCAGGAGGTGATGGTGCTGTTGCCCTATATCCATGGGACACACCACTTTGCAGAGCCCAAAGAGGATTGAAGGGGAAAGGAATTGCTGGATGGGGTAAAGGACTGTCTCCAGCCTTTGGTGCCTCCTGCTTTGTCTGCTGGGGAGTGGGAACAGACAGCAGAGCCCACTGCACAGGCACGTGCAAGCTGGCACTCACACCCCGACTCCAATACCACATCCAGGACCACCACCACCTCCAGGACCCGAGAAGCTGCTTTAGCCTCCCAAAAACCACTAAAACCCCTGGAGAAACCCATCCTTGTGTCAGGGAACAGGAGTTTCTTGCCCTCAATGCAAGGAACAATACAGGCACTTCCCCAAAAAAAAGTCTTAGCCCCATGGTTTTCCCCTGACAAGGGCAAATCCTGGCAGGGCAGCCCCACGGAAGGGTCCCAGTGTCCTCCACCACGGGGCAGCTGTGGTGTGGGCCAGGGACTGGTTGCTGATAACCTGGAACGTGTTCCCAGCAGTTATGGGAGCCAGCCCTGCCCGGTCCCTGCTGGATGGTGATTTCAGCACTTTTGTGGCCCTGCTGTCTCATGTCCACCTCTCACCCCTCCTATGACCCAGAGCTGCCCTGACAGCGGATGCACAACCCTGGGACACCGAGGAATTGCGGGACACCCTCAGGGTCCCAGGCCACCATGGTCCCTGCCCTGCCTGCCCCTGGCCCTGGTCCTTACCTGGAGGAGGAGGATGAGGATGACACAGAGGCTGCAGGCTCCTTTCAGCAACCGCTGGTCCCTGCCTTCTGCAGAGCCCTCTTCCCTGGGGATGGGTTTCCCGGTCCCTCTATCGGGGTGGCTGCGGTACCCAGGGGATGAGCGGTCCTTCCCCGCCTCTCCCTGCTGCAGGCTCCCTCTCTGGCACTGGCTCCTTCACCGCCCTCGCTCCATCCCTCACTCCCTGTGCCAGCAGCAGAGCTGCTCCAAGCCCAGCCTCATTAAAGAGACACACTCCCTATACCGGCACCCTGGGGGGGTGGAGGGATGCTCTCACAGGGAGCGCTGGGGGTCTCAGGGGACAGCCAGCACCCTCAGAAAGTGACAGGCACCAGTCAAGAGCAGAGTCAATGGCTGTGGGCTGCTCTGTACCCACAGAATAGCAATGCCCAGGCAAACTAAGATGCTGGTGAGACCCCTGGTGATGCTGCAGCAAAAAAACCCCACGGGTTTGTCTGGCTGGGACACAGAACCATCCCCTGTGTGCCTCCACAACAGATCATGCCGCAAAATAGCCCCCATCACCCAGCTCTACTCTCCAGTACAAATCATATTGGCCACAAGTGTCACAACCAGCTTCACTAGGAAAGATCTCAGCTGCCCTGAGACCATAACAAAATGACTCGGAGCAGGTAGATGCTCAATATCCACCCCAAACCCAGATGCCCTGGGGTACCACTGGGCTTTCCTCATCAGCCTTTGTGTGCTGCAGTGAAATCACAGCCCTGAGGAGCAGGAAAGAGGGGGGATTCAGGGACAGCCCAGCTTTTGGGTAAAAAGTGTGACAACAAGGTCCCCTGGGAAAGGTGCAGACAAGTCAGGAAATCCCAGCAAAGTCAGGACATGTCTGCTGGCAGGGAGATCTCATAGCCCGGGGTGCACTGGGAATTCCTCAGCCACTGACAGTCCCACGTTCCCAAGCAGGACCAGAGAGATCCATCAGATTTGGGCTAATCCCAGCCCTGCCTTTCCCAGGCAGCTCCCTGTGCTATAGATAGGACTGTGCTGCTGCAGCTCTTTTTATAGAGCACACAGAGAGGAGTCCCCCCCACCTCCTGCACCGCAGAACCCACCATCACAGCCACATCGAACCTGGAGCCAGTCCAGGCACAAACTGGGGCAGAAAAATCCAGCAGCACCACAAGGGGAGCAGTCCCCAGACCTCAGCAGGTATTTTTAGATCTCACCTCAGCGCTGACCCATATGCCACTACAGCTTCAGCTCCTTGACACGGGTTTCACCGGTGACAGCAAGAGCAACGGAGGGAAATCTTGGTGGAAGACACTCTCTGCTGCACATGGTGGTGTGAGACACACTCCTCCTTCCTGACCCCTCACCCTGAGCTTTAGTCAACAATTATCTGGCCAAGAGGCACTCTGTGCATCCCTAAGGCCCTTGCTAGAGCACTCCAAGCCATTCCCTCCCCCATGAGAGATGCCCCATAGCATACCACTTCCCCTCCCAGGGCAGAGAAAAGAGCTGAAATGTGCAGCTGCTCCCCTTCCCTCTCCTTTATGACCACAGCAGAAGGATGTTAACCTATGTGTTATCCCCCTGTGGCAGACACCAGTTCTGGGAGCTGCTGGAGGCCCTGCACACATCACAACACATCCACACAGCCTGCAACGTGCAAGGGACTCCCACTCCCATCGTCACAGCAAGCGCCACAGCCACTCCAGCCCCAGAAAAAAGCCCACAAGCTTTGATTTTTCTCTGAGATATCATTTCTAGGCCAAGCTGAGGCAAAGAAAAGCATCCAAATATGAGCACTGGTTCAGTGCCACCAGCTGGGGTGATGGAGCTTGGCCAGCCCACAGTGTGAGACGTCGGCCCCAGCGTGACAGCAGGTGAATAACAACGGCATGTGCAGCGCTGGGGACACAGCTGAGTCTCCCCCAGCATGCTGGCAGCCTTCAGAGGAGACACAGAAGGGCTCCATCCCAATCTGCTCCCAGCAGCACCAGGCATCAGATGTTGGTGTCCCTGCTCTGCACTGTCACAGCTTCCCTACAGCAGTTCATCACAGACACAAATAGACCTGGAGAGGTTGGCACTGCTTTTCAGCAGAGTGCTGAGCTAAGACGTGTTAAACTCTGCAAACAAAGGCCCAGCTCAGCCCAATGGCTCCATTCAGCATCCTCACACCTCACCAGCAGCTGGAGCATAGCCCAAGGGACCAGTCAGGATCTGGATATTTATCTCCAAATCACCTGTTCCTTGAGCTGAATTATCACCCATTGACAGGGCTTTCAAGAGGTTTTACAGATGTTTTACAGATGCTCTCAGGTCCTGAGTCACCGACAAACACTGTGAATTTAGTGTTAGTTTAGTTATTTTGGGAAATAACCCAAAACCCAGGCTGGCAGCAACTGCGCTCAACGCAGCTGCAGCTCCTCAGACCTCGCTGACGATTACACAGGCAGAGGGCTTGCTGCAGGGAGAGGGGCAGGGACATCCTGTTTGGCTGCTCCTTAATAAGTGAGAGCTAAACCAAATCCTGAGGATGGGTAGCCATGGAGGAGGAAGGTGCCAGTGGTGTTTCTGGCCAAAATCCGGCACACTTTGACTTAACCTGTGCAATATTAGCCTGCCCAGCTGTAGGGAGTTACAGAGGGCCCGGAGGGAAGAAAGAAACAACACACCAGCAGAGAGAAAGATGGCTGGTGGAGACATCTGAGATCCTTGGGGACAGGGGCTGGGAATGCTGCCAGCACTTCAACCTGCCTAACTGAAATCTTCCCAGGATGCTGGGAGAGGTAGATGGTGGGGCTGGCTGTGACACAGACCCAGGCTGTGGCTGCTGGATTTGCTTTCGGCAGGCGAAAATAGCAGGGGCTCCCAGCAGAGAGGGGGGTCCGTGGGAGATCTCCCCCCTGCCTCCCCGCCGGGCTTTTTGGAGGAACCGAAACTGCCTGTATTTGAGGAATCCGAAACTGCCGTGCCGGTGACGCCCCTGCGAGGCTCGGAGGTGGGGCTGTGTCGGCCGTGCTGAGCCATCCCTGCGCCGGGACCCTTCTCACACGGCAGCACAGCGGGTGCCGGGCCCACAGAGGGTGAGCATCGCCGCTCCATCTTCCTGCGCTTCTCCAGAACGCCTGCTCGCGGTGGGACGTGGAGGTTCAGGTCAGCTTGGATCATCGGGACTCGGCGGGATCCCATCAGGTCAGCCTGTCCCTTCACAGTCGTCATAAATGAGAAACAAAAGTCTCGATATTCAGCGAAATTTAGATTGCTTTATTTTATATAGACAGAGCAAAGCAGCGAGTTAGGGAGTCGTGAGAGGTCACTGTCCGCTCCACGCTCCACTGAACTTGGTTTGCAGCTCCTTTTTATAGGATAGTTTTCCTTGTAGTAATCAATAATTGCTATTTTTTGTTGTCATAATTCTGCCAGGTAAGCAGTGGTGGTCAAAGAAACATCCGTGGGACCGCTCTCCGGACAATTTGTCAAGTAACCATCTGGTCTTGGTAGATAAAGAGCAGCAGAAGCGGGAAGTCTGGTCTTAGCAGATAGGTTGCAATTGATTACACAAAGGCAGGAAATCTGATTTTGCAAAATCTTTTAGGCAGTGGAAAACCTTGTTTTACAAACTGGTATCAAATACAATTTATTTGGAAAACACAATATTCATAACAGGGAGATTTAAACAGAATGATTTTAATCATATATTTCTCTTTATCTAGGTACATGTTTTTATCTAAGTATTCTGGTTTATACAAACTCCAAAAGTTCTATGATTAACACGAATCTTTTATCAATTATCACACAGTGGAGCTCGAGAGGCTGAGCCCTCTGCCCACGGGCGGGGATGGGAGCTCGGATGGGGCTCGGAGCCCTGCACACGGGCGGGGCTGCGGGGTTTGTCCCCAGCCCGGCGTAAAATGTTCGGGGGTCCCGGGGGCGGCGTGATGCGAGGGGGATGTGGGGCCGGAGCAGGGCGGGCATGCCCGGGCAGATCCCGCGGCACCGATGGCCGAGCGGCTGCTTCCCTCTAGCGGGGCTCGGCCGGCGGCTGCGCCCAGCGCCGCTCGTCCCTCCTCCCGCACCTCCCTCCGCCCCTGCGGCGCGTGGGGGAGGCGGGACGCGGTAAAGGCGGGACGCGGGGAAGGCGGGGAGGCGCTTCCGGAGCGGCGGCGGCGGCGGAGCGGTGAGAGCGGCGGCACCGGGCGGGGCGGCTCCGGACCGCGGTCCCGGAGCGCGCCTGGGATCCCCGGGGTGGTGCTGGGGGTTCCCCCTCCCCGCCTGTCCGAGCGGATGGGCCCGCGGGGAACGCGCCTGATCCCCGGGCAGAAGTGGCTCCTGCGGGCATCGCTGGCGCGTCCCGGAGGAGGTGGCTCCGGGGGCCGCTCTGCCCCCGCCCGATCCTCGGGGCTGCCCGGGCTGGGCTGCGGGGAACCGGGGTGAAAACAGGCAACCCAGGTTAGCCAGCCGCCATTCACCGTAACACGTGAGCCCGGGGAAGGTGTGGGAGTAGCAGTTCTGGCAGGGACACAGTGTGCCCTGGAGCAGGCGCAGGAGGGCCAAGAAAAGGGAAGTAAGTGTTGTGAAGATCAGCATTAAACTTTATTCCATGTCCACAGTGTAAGATCCTCTGACCTGTAGCAATGGGAAGACCCAAGAAGGAATCAGCTGGCACACGATCCCCCCGACCGGCCACAACCGCCCCCAAAACTGCCCCTGCCGCCGCCCCGCCTTCCACTTCAGCCACCCGCGCCAAAGCCGCTGCTGCAGGGAGCCAGTCCCGAGGCACTTCGGCTCCCAAGGCTACCGCCCCCACGCAGGGACGGAGAACAAAGGCGGACTCAGCTCAGCCAAGATCCACAGCATCCGGAGGAGATGCTGGGGAGAAGAGCAGAGCACCCACCAGGAGTTCTACAACCCAGAAGGCGCCTGATGCCAAGGGAGCTGCTGGTCCTGCCAGAACTGACCTGTGTCAGCCTGGGGCTGACCTGAGCAAGTCCTACGACCAGCTCCTACCCCCTCTGAAGAGCCAGGATATCCTGAGGGTGGAGAAGGAGACCCGGGGCCAGAGGGAAAACCCCAAGTGGTATGAGGCGCGGAAGAACCACATCACTGCCTCCGTGGCCCCCAAAATTGCCAACAGCAGGTTTGCCAACAGCAAGACAGACGAGGTGCCCAAGTCCTACCTAAAAGAAGTAGTGGGCTCTGGCTCCAAGGTGCAGACCCCAGCCATGTCCTGGGGGATCCGCAATGAGAAGGCGGCTGTGGAGGCCTACAAGGAGAAATCACAGAAGGGGGGCAAGCCAGTGCAAGTGGAGGACTGTGGCCTTTTCATTCACCCGGAGAAGCAGTGGCTTGCTGCCAGCCCAGATGGGATCATCAAGGATCCAGCCACAGGGAAGGACCTGGGGCTGTTGGAAGTGAAGTGTCCCTACAAGCACAGGAACAGGACGGTGCGTGCGGCCTGCAAGTACAAGGACTTCTGCCTGGAGGTGGATGGGGATTCCTATGCCCTGAAGAAGAATCATCCCTACTTTACCCAGGTCCAGTGCCAGCTGGGAACCACTGGCTTCCAGCGGGCCGACTTCGTGGTACACACCAACAAGGAGACGGCTGTGGTCCCCGTGGAGTTTGATGGGGAGTTTTGGGGGAAGACAGTGCCCAAGCTGGAGAAGTTTTACACGGAGGCAGTGATTCCCTACCTGGAGCAGAAGGCAGGCAGCTCTGTCTACGCCAAGGAGGAATAGACCACTGCCTGCTTACCTCCGCTGGATACTTGCTTGGCTGCATAACTCCAGCTTTGTCCTCTAGCATAGAAGTTACACCCAGAAGTTACACGGGTTAGTTGCTATTCCTGAACTGTTCACAGCCTTGGAACTGAAAAGTTGTACCAGCAGGACCCAGTTTGGTTAGGGTCCCCACAAACAGTGCCTTTTTGCTGCCCCAACCAGGTCAGCACTCAGCCCTCAGACAGAGCCTTCTTGTCCTGTCACCCTCACTGCATCCCCCACCTGTCCCAACAGCATGCCTCATGGAAGCTGGCACACCTCCTGATCTGCAAATGAAGCCAGTGATATCTCTGTATTGGAATTAGAGGCTTATTTTGTGGACAAAACTGGAACCTTTGTTATTCAGTTGCTGTTGGGACTAGTTTCTAACTGCACTCCAGAGTGGAGACAGACAAGAAAGGTTTGTCAGAGCCCAAGAGCAAAACTCTTCTTTTGAGCTAAACAGTGATATGCCTTAAGCATCAGAGCAAGGGCACATGGACACCCTTCCTCCCTGAGCCATCGGACCTGCTGCTTCTGTGGAATAACCCATGACATTCCCTGTGAGATGCCTGCAGGCTCTGAAACACGATTCCCACTGGAGAGGTTGTCCCCCAGGCCATGCACCCCCTAAGAACCTACCCATGGAGCATCCCTGTAAACTGCAGCAGCGTGAGGAGGTGGTCATTGCCAAATTAAATATAGATGCACTGGTCTGCTTGTTTCCTGTTGTTTTTGCAGCTTAGGATTTACCTGGGGGAGTAGCAGGGCTGAGAGATGTCCCTACACCAGGTCCCCTCCCAGCCACAGCAGAAGGGAAGCAGGGGAGCACTTGGATCCCCAAGGGATATGAGAACCAAGATCACTGACCTATGCCAAAGCCACTGTTATGGCAAAAGTATTTATTATATACATAAGACTCCAGTCACACTCCACAGGGCAAGGACCAGAATTCGCTATAATACAAATTAACTATAATACAAAGTAACTATAATACAAATTAACTATAATACAAAGTAACTATAAAAACATAAAGCACTTTTGGGGCCCAGGCTTTCCACAGGAGGAGAGAGGCACAGGGACGAGCCTGGGGGCTGCTGTGTGACAGGGGGCTGTCCCACACCCTGCCCCCAGCTGTGGTCCCGCAGTAACCAGATGTGCAAGTAGGAAAGAACCCAGTTAAGAATTATAGTCATGGGGACTGGCAGGTGGGGGCTGAGCTGAGTGTCACCAGGACAGGAGCGGGGCCTGCATCCCCCAGGGAAAGTGCAGAAGGCACATGGGCAGGGCTCTTTGGAGGGGCTGTGAGGAGGAGATGGGATCCAACAGTTAGTGCATGTGGGGCCCCAGGAGATCACAAACACTAACACACCACCCACAGGGATGAGCATCTGAACTATCCTCCTATCCCCCACACACTTCTGGGATAACAGAGCTCTACGGCCAGTATGATCCTCGGGGAGGACAGCAGGGCAGCTTTCAGGGGCCAGAGGTGTGAGGGGGACAGTCTGGCCCTGTGTCCCAGCCCCTCCCCTGCCAGTGCATTGATTGTCTAAGTCTTCAGGTTAAAAAGGGGCCCCCAGCCTTCCTGCTCTGCAGGAGCATCAGTCAACGAGGCGCTTGCGGGGCACTGTCCGAGCTCGGTTCGAGCGGCGAATCTCCTGCTTGGCGTCCCGGCACCGCTGGCAGATGAAAATGTCAGGCACGTTGGATTTGCGGATCTTGGCACAAGAGAGGTGGATCCAGGTAGCACATTCGTTACATTCAATCATGGGCCTCCCTGCAAAGGGCTTCATGCAGAAGCAGGTGATCAGATCCCAGGCATCATCATCTGCTCAGGGAGAGAGAGAAACACTGGTCAAACACCACCTTACCAGCTGCAGGTCTGGTTGTGGCCAGACCAGCCAGTTCTACTGGTGTTAAATGGGACAGACCCCCACTCACCTTCTGCTTTGGTGTTGGGAACTTCTGCGAATTCAACTGCCAAAGTTGCAAAAGGGGGAAAAAAGAGAAAAAAAACAAAATCAGATAAGTAAGGCAGCCCTATTTCAGACCTGTTTCAGGTCTGCACCACTTGCTCTGCGGAACAGAGCTACCAAAGGGCAGGTCAGCTCCCTGCCCTCTGCTCTCCAGTTCCCGAGGTCCCAAAAGTATTCCTTTTGTTGGGAGAAGCTTGAGCTATCGACAGGCCCTCCCTGTGGCCAGCAAGGGTAGCTCCAGCTGAGGGAGGGACAATGTTTGGCACTGGCTGCAGCAAAACAGGGCCCTCTGCAGTCTCCCAGACACTTACCACTGAGCTGAGAGGTGTCTCTGCTTGTGTCTTCCCCTGTGCTTTGGTCCAAGGTATTACAGGGACTAGGGCTTTTCCCCTCTCCAGAGAAGGGATCGTGCTCCTTAAGCTGAGGATCATCTGCTGGCTTCTCAGTTCCCTGTGCTCCGTACATCAAGTCCTTCTCCTCCGTCGTTGGCTCCTCCAGGAGGGAGTTGGGCTGGGGGTCTCCAGGTGGGTTGAGGGAAGGCTCCAAGAGCTCCTCTTTCACAGGAGACAGCTGTCCTGCCAGTGCAGCCAGCTGCTTGACCCCATCCTGCTCTGCCCCAAAGTCCTTCCAAGCAGTCAGCGGCACCCTCTTCTTCACCTCCTGCTCCAAAATGCGTTTCTTTGCTGGTGGTTTCTTCCGTTTGATTTGCTGGGGCCGGACATTGTAGAAGGCGGTGGAAAAGGCAGGGCTGTTCATTAGCAGGCCACTGCCCACAGCCCCCCTGGCCACAGCATTCCTGCTCTTCCTATTGTCCATTGGGATGTGGCCATCGGAGGAGTGAGATGAGGTCGAGCTGTCACTGTCCTGAGTGCTCCCCGTGCTGTTCTGGGGGCTCATGCTACCTCCGTGGGTCCAGGGCACATACTAGTGGCAAGAGGAGAAGACGAAGGATTAGCATTGGAAACCAGAGCACAGATATTTGGGGTAAGGAGAGAACGACTCTCAAGCAGTGTCTACCCAAACTTCAAGGCCCTGAGCAACCTGATCTAGTGGGTGGCACCCCTGCCCATGGTAGAGGAGTTGAAACTAGATTATCTCTAAGGTCCCTTCCAACCCAAACCAATCCATAATTCTTTAAGATTAGGAGCTGTCTGCACATGGCAGGAAGACCAGGAGAACCAGTGTCTTTGTAGAGGAACACTGTGCAAGCCTGCTTACCTCTTCAGGGTATGGGATGTAGCCTGCATAGGCCAGAACGAAGGTGCAGAACTGGTTGAAATCCTCCACAGTTCTCCGCCGTTTCACAAGTGGCTGCAACAAACACCACGAGTGGATTAAACTCCCGGGATATCCCAACCAAGCCGTTATCACAGCCAGCTCTGGCGGCAGCCCTGGATCACCCGGCAGTTTTACGCGCACAGAACATCGAGGTCACCCAAGCATCCATCCTTCCCCTAACTCTTCATCATCATCTACCGAGGCAAATGCAGCCCTTCCCTTTAAACCCAGATCCCAGGCGGGGTGATGGCGGGGCTGGGCGGGGGGGAGGGAGGGCCGGACACACGCGACGACACCGTGACGACATGCCGGGACACCCAGAGCCCGGCAGCCGCCGGCGGAGCCTGAATCAGAGGCTCGGGGGCCCGGTGCCGGGATGTCCGCGCACGAGCGGTGACTCCGGGATGGGGGACGCTCCCGGGGCAGCGCCCGGCGCTCTCGGGGCTCGGTCCCGCGGGGGGAGCGGTGGGAGGGCCGGGCGCCGCCGGCAGCACCGGCGCCTCCGGGGCAGCCCCGCACCCCGCGGCCGATCGAGGGGGAGCCGGGGTCGGGCCGCAGCGCTCCCCCCGCGGCGGCGGCCGGGGATGGGAGGGGGTGTCGGGGGCGGCCCCCCCGCGCCGCCC